CTTTGCCTGGGTCAATGTCTTGTCATGAGCGCTTGACAGTGCTTTGCTTGGTATATCGATACGGCTAATGCTTCATACTTAATGATACACTCCGTAAGTGATTTAAATGCACATCGCGTTGTAAGCTTCCGCTGATGCAACGTTATGAAACGAATGATTGGAATTATTACTCACTGACACTGAACTTTAATGGTGAATCTTGCTGCGTTTGCAGAGAGAAGTTTATTCCTTCTTATGCTCCCACAATTAACGGATATCACTCAATTGGAAGAAAGTCGGGAAAGTCATATATGTAATTGAATCGTAGCATATCGAAAGTCACTGATAACCGAATGAAAGCGGTGACACAGATCGGGCGGCGATCAGTAGATAATTATATTAGTTGTTCAGAAAGCGCAATTAAGGATGTCTAGATCATATCTCAAAACATTATCAAAAATATAAAAATTTTATAGATTGTTCTATTATTACGTCTAAATATCTGTGTAAAATTTAAGCACAATTCTCTTATTAGTTTAAAAGCTATTTAATTTTTTTTTATTAATCTCGATGGAAAAATTTTATTGGTCTTAGTGGAAAAAACTGAAATTCGTGCATTTCTAATATTATATAACTTATGTACAAGCAATGGTTTATTGCAGTTTATTAAAGATCCTCTGTATCATTGTGAGCCAATAGAATAGATAAACAGATTCATAGAATCAGAATGTTTGAAGAAATAATGATTGAGCATATTATTGAAATCAAACCTGCACAGCCTGTGCAGGTCGCTGCCAGCGCCCTTTGATTGCATTTTCTGGCTTGGTAAGCAACTTAAGAATGATGGTTCCGTTTTATTTATAAACAGCCACGAGGTGCGCAAAGGCTCGCTCGCGTGCGCTCACAGCAAGTTGCCGGGTTGAACGCCTCCAAGTGCAGCAGACCCGATAAAACGCTAACGGAGTGCGCTTTATGGACTTTTTTTTTCTCTGTCGCAACATTGTTCGCCCAACTTTTCGTCCGATCGTCGCCACGGTTGTCTTTAATGCGCTGTTTACGTTAGGCAGAGTGTTAATTAAGAATTGAAAAATAATTGCGACTGGTAGCGGCGGATCGCGTTGGTAGCGGCGATGCCATCGTTCCTCTTGCGTAACTCTGCCGCCATAGTCACGCTTGGTAAAAAGTGTTACGTCCGTTGCAATTAGAACGAGTGGAAGAAAAAGGCGACACCTGAACCTCGACGAAGGCAATTAGGCGGTCGTATCTTGAAGAAAATATAAACTTTATATTAACTTTTATTATCATATAATTTTCTTTTTGTAAATAAAGCAAGAGAATATTTACACTTGAAGGATTTCACTTTTGCCTAGATTAATTTTTATTTCTATTTCTTTCCAAGTTTAAAAATTACTAAAAAACAAACAATAGGTTTTTTATTATAAAATCCAGTCTTTGAGCAAAAGTTAAACGTAAATTCCCTCGATCGCCTTAATTTCTACATTTCAATATTTATTCTTATCAGTCTTTCTTAACTACGTATTATATAGAAAGTTTGTCGAATGCATTCTATTTAAGAAATTTTTTATTATGTTTTCTATTTGTTATTAATTTGTACGCAAATTACTACATTGGAAATTATAGCTTGATGTTTCAGAACCTACTATTACAATCATGTTTAACTTTTTATTAATAAGACAAATTGATAATAGATAATTTTTTAATTATAAGTCTTTTCATAACATGTCAAGAAAGATATGTTTCAATCCAATTGCTTAAATCATAGGTCTTCTAAATCATATCTCTTTTGAAAGTAATGTGTTTATGAATAAAAATAATTAAAGATATAAGATTAATAAAAGGAATCATCAACTAACATCAAATTACAATAATTTATTGAAAACAAAATCAAAGTTTAAAAAATGTAATAGTTGATAAATAACAATAGAAAGACATTATATAACTGGCTTGAACTTATTTTCTCACAAAAATTACGCCGTCTTGAGTACATCTACCTCTGCGCGTGTTTTCGATTTTTTCCAATTTTAAAAATGGAGTTGAATTTGCAACAACGAGTTTGCAACAACGAATACCATCCAACAGCCATCGAATTCACCCGATATGACTCCCTGCGATTTTTTTCTGTTCGATCGAGTCAAAAAACCTGCGGGGAACGCGTTTTAACAGCCGAAAGGAGGTAATGGAAAAATCGAAGACGGCTCTGATGGCTATACCAATAATAGAGTTCCAGAAATGTTTCGAGAGCTGGATCAAGCGCTGGCATAAGTGCGTTGCAGTCGCTGGAGAGTACTTTGAAGGGGACAATATCACTTTTGATGAATAAACTTGTATTTTGAATTTTCTGAATGAATTCCGGAAACTTTTTGATCAAGCTAGTATATTTTAATTGTTAGTCTTATTACCTTATGATGATACAATTTAGGAAACTTGATAGATAAAAATATCGATTTAATATCTGTATAATAATTGCAAATATCATATATACCTATATATACTATAAGTGTAAAATATTTTAGTAGTAAACTTTTTTTACGAAAACGTAAATTTAAAGTAAAATTATATGAATTACATTATTATCAGTTACATAAATTAATCAAAAGATGTAACATCAGTTGTATACCGGATGTTTTTAAAATACTGTCATCGTGCACAAAACAAAATGTAACCATTTATTTTTATTTATATCACTCATTTATTCTGTTTATTTTGTTACTAAATTATATCAAATAATAATATAAAAAAAATTGATCAAGATGATTTAGAATTACAATTAGATATGAATTCAAGAACACTCCTCTAACCAAATTTCTCGTCGTCGATTATTAATTCTTATATGGATTTAATAATTTTAATCAAGTTTCGTCTTGTGGTACGGTGTGATAAATGAGGCGGATCGCATCTCTCAATGATTTCTAATCGTCCATTTGAAGAGCTGATCTCTCCGAATTATCAGCGTACGTAAACGCAAAATGTTGAACGTGATATACGTCAGCTTGTGCACGTCCAGCTTCTCGTGCAATTACAACTTTCATTCAGGCGCGCAAGAAAAAGAAATCCGCGCGGCGGCCCGCGGTCGTCGTACCCGTGTAGCGTGACTCCGCACCGATCTGGCTCGACGACCTTTCCTGCGCGAGCATCGATGTCTCTTTTCGTGAAACACCTACTTGCTGCAATCACATTGCATGCCTACTTAACCCGTTAGCCGAGTCGCGTTTGCCACTATCTCTGGACATTTTATTATCTGCATCAGCTTAGTAAATCGAAAAGAAACTATTGCTAAAAAAAGAAAAGGAGAGAAAAGTTCTCAACGAGTCTCTCTCTCTCTCTCTCTCTCTCTTTTAAAAATGTAAAAATCTATTTACTTCGATGTCAGTTTTTTTATAATGATCTTTTTCTTGTTAGATTACACTGAGAGAAAAGAGTTTGCTGTTATTGAAAACGACGGTAAAATTATATTTTAAAGAGGATCGCAGCCATATATTTTATATATGCCTTTATATATGCATATATATATTTTTGTCAAGACAACTATATATTTTATATACATAGATAGAATCAATGTAGATTAAATAATTTATTATTCTCCCCTTCTCTCCCCGAGTATGATGGCTCTTTTTATAATTGATTATCTTTATGATTGACTTTACTGTCATAGCATTACTTTAACACTATCTTTTACAAATACATTTTACTACTACTTTATATCTACTTAACAATGCCTTAATCTCCATCATTTAACATCAACTATCAGCTTATCCTACCTGCTTAGCTAAATTTTTGAGTATCACTATAAATATTATTAATTCTTCCATAGATATTTAATGGGTGTCTCATTAAGAAATAAAAATTGTCTAGGTGAGTAAAAAATCTACAATTATTGAAAAAGAAAATAATCAATTAAGATATTTTTACGAATGAAAAATTTTTATATTACATGAAAAAATTTCATAAATTCGTGATTCTTTCATGATCTTTTTGACTGTTAGCGAGGTAATTCTGAGGGCACATATACCTACTCTCGGTAATAGTGCGAACCTCTAACATGGCACGCCACGAACAATCCAAGACTATCTACCGGCTATCCCGCCATCGTGCTATGTTCACGGCCGTTTTCTCGAATAGAAAGGCTATTCCTTCAATTTTATACCTATGACTCCTACGAGACTCCTATGGGACTAGAATCAGTACGGAGAAAACATCCACTAGAATAAGATATTATCCTTCAATGAACGTCTACGTACTCGTATAAACCGGTTTCAAACTAGAATGCTATTTCCGAACGACGCAAAAGTGTTTGACAATATTATGACAAAGTAACTTGTTGGCAAAACATTTCTGTAAAATTTTTTTAGAAAATTCACATTTAATATAAATGGAGTAATTTATTTTCCCGTAATAATTTATTTACCTCCCTTGTTTTTGCAATATACAGTGTAATAACAATATAGTTGAAATAATATAATTTTTATTCGCCTTGTAAAAATCGTTTTAAAAGAAATAGAAAATTTTAAAATAAGTAAAATTTGAGCAAGAGAACGATACAGTATTTTCAGGCTCCCCTAAAAGATTCTTTTGGCCTCCATGCCGAAGGCGGCCATCACGATCGCCCTGAACGGATTCCTGAGCGAAATGTAAGACAAATTTGCGTTTCTCCTCTCTGTTTCTCCTCTCGCGAGTCACGCTCGCGTCCTGACGTCATTTTGCAGCAATCCGGCCGCCACGTGACAGGTATTTAAATGTACCGTACAGAGTTACCCCCGCGACGTTGCCGTGCAACAAACAAGAGCGATGCCTCCGCTCGGCCTTCTCCGGTGGCGTCGCGACTCGCTCTCCTCCACCGTGTCTCCTCCACCTTTTCTGCGCCTACGTTCACGGCCTACCTCCTTTTCTCTCTCCTGAGCCTGGGTTCCGCCACAGGGGAAGAGAAGAAGGCACTCTTTTGCAGGTAACGCGCGCCGTTCACCTGGGCGTAGAGAGAGAGAGAGTCCGGTTCTTCACGTGACCCTGAGGACAATTCTCAGATCTTTTACTTCGTTCTCTCTTCCTTGCCATTCTTCCTCGCTGCGAATTCGCGAATTTGCTATCAGACATTTTGCGCTTCCTTCCTTTCTTCTTCTTCATCGTCTTCCGGCCTCGTGAACGAATTATCGCTATCGACAGCCTGTGTTCACGCGCGCGTGAGTTCAGTTCAGTTCAGTTCCGTTCCGTTCTGTGAAGTGAATTGTCTTGGGCGGATCGTGGACGGACTTCTTCAGTGGTGTACATGTACCCTGGGACTAGAATCTTATCGTAGAACATAGGGAAAATCGACGTAAGTCTCTCTGAGAAATCTTATATCGCAAAAGTCGGAATCGGAGCGGAATTTTGACGCGTGAGCGTGATCTTTTTATAACAGCGTTTCTTCGAATAGATGCCACAGGAGCTATTCGGATTGGCGAAAGAATTTCGACGCGAAAGAAATGAATACGAGATTAAATTCGATGCTATAATTCTTGAACGAAAAATTCTAAGGTCGTTATTTCTTAGTTTTAGTTTAGCCTCTCAATTAGTTAAAAAAATTTTTTTTTAATTTAATTAAATCCTAATCATTTTTCAATTATCAACGCTGAAAAACTCATTTAAAATTTCATTTTGTAAAAAGAAAGTTTCTTAAACATTTGAATCCATGAAGTGTTATTTTAAATGGTGTTTTAAATCTATGACGAATGCATGCTGTAAGATATATGATTTCTACAAGTGTGGAAATCTTTAAATCGTATAAGAGATGTTGAAATTTACGGAGTGCGATCATATGTCCGGGATCTTAAAATATCAGACTGTTGTCGGTAGATGAGCATGTTCAATTACTAGGACTTGACAGTACAAAATTTATTTACGTGCGAGGTTCTGATAAATATATAATTAAAAATGTCAAAACAAATAATTACAATTAAAATAGTGATAATTATTATTCATTCTTGATAGAGAACCGTAGTAAACATGTTATAATGTTTTCCTATTTCATTATCAATAACATAAATTCTATGCCTCATCAGTTTTGAGCATTTTTGAGCAATGAATAAACCAAAACAATATAGAAGCATTCTAATCTTGTATAAACACGATGAAAAAATTTTTTCATGTAATTTGTTACACAAATCATATAATTAACCAACTTCTTACATTAAAGTAATTAAATTATGTAGCCATGTCAACTTTAAAATCTTATATGTATTATATATACATATCACTTGTAAAACGCTACGAATTAATTCCAACACCTAATATATATATATATATATATATATATCTTTATATAATAATGTAATATGAAGTGATTGCTCCAAAATCTACTTATTACAGAATGTCCTAGAAATTCTTTTTTATCTTTACTGATGTCTCTCGAATACTCATTCGATCGAACACAGTCAGTTCTTGTGCCTCGATTTACAGATATTCCGTAAACGATAAACCGCTACCGGTTCGATCCTATGGTACATATACAGATTGCGTGTATAGCATAAATTCGCATCGTAAAGCATCATAAGAATGCATATAAATGCAGAAGAGAAAGTTTCTTGCACGTTGAATTTTATCTAACATGCCCTTCGCGCACCTCGCATTGCCTTTGCAAAATGCTAATAGGATATTGAGACGAATGAAATTATGAGTTATGTACGCAAGAAAGGCTTGGCAACGAATAATTTAAAAATGCACATTCGCTTGGCATGATGCGATAATTTCGTGGCATCGCGAATTACAAACTTCGGCCGCTTTCAGAAACTTCAGTCGGATGCACTCATGTATCATTTTATCTTTGTTGTTAAACAAATATAATAAAGTTAAACAATTAAATAAAGTTGAAATAATATATTAGCTGTATTTAGGTGAAATTTCCAAATGCAGTTTTCATCTACGATCGTCGGATTCTTTTGCCTCCCGTTTCGTAATTTCGCAAGTCGTTGGACTCAAATAAACACGAATTCTATCTACACAAATATTTATAATTATTCAATTCATCAAATTTAATGCAGACATAATATCGCAAAAGAACTATATATATTATCGTAAATGTTTTTGCTATTATGAAATTGCAATTTGATGTTGGATTTAATTTATTGCTCACAAAATATCATGAAAAATTATTTTTATGCGTTGAATTGTAAATACTGATTGTGAGTTTCCATAATTAACATCAAACAATTTGCAGTTGTTTGATAATTTTTATATATTAAAATTTTTGTATATACACTTCACAGAGTATATCAATAATTTAGATTTAACTTATCATTACAATAACACAACTCAAAAAATAAAGTTTTCCAGCAAATAAGTTTCAATACTTTAAGTACGAGTATATTATTTTCTTCATGTTTCTTTTTTTATTATTTTTCGTTATATTTCTTTTTATAAACAATTAAAAAATAATAATTTTGCATTATATCAATGTTGTTGCAAATAAACGTTATAATATTAACTTTTAACTGGTGGTGGATTACTTACTAAGACAGGATAAAAAAAAGATTCTTAAAATTTTCAAAAATTGTTCATATAGTAGCTGCTAAAAGTCAACATATAACTTTACAATAATTTTTGTGCGTATCAATCTGTTTTTAGTTTACATTTTAATAAAATATATGTTTGTTGTAATCAATTTAAAAGATATATTAAATACTAGAATATATTAAATACTTGTATACTAGATCTTTATTTGTAAAAATCTCTTTAATCTCTAATCAATACAATGAAATTACTCATTAACCGAAAACTTTTGGTAGCCATTGTACGTTTCCCTTATATTTTAAGAATATAAAAGGAATGTCAAATTCGAAGACTACTATTTCTTTTTACTGCTACTCTATGAACTATATTTAACGCAAAACAACTTTTTGATCTAGTAGAGTATGGATCAAGAATGGTCCCCTTTCTTTTAAATAATTTTCCAAAATATATCTTCAAAAGAACAAAAGATTTTTTTATGATATTTTACGATGGTCTCTTCTATTGTACTGATATCTCCGCTACTTACGGCGGCAGAAAAAACATGGGACCAGTCTTGGAGCTTTTAAAACGATGAAACGATAGGTGGGTAGATAGGTAGGTAGCTAAGTAGGTAGAAAGATAGGCAGGTACATGACTTGTAGATGCTAGCATGTAGGTAGATAAGTGCTCGCATATGGTGTAGCAGACAGTCTGACCGTATCTCGCGTATTAAAGACACTATTCAGTGCCTCGTGTAACCCTTATTTACCATTATTTTAAATATAGATTATAAATATGCATGCGTTTGCAAGTTCAAATTTTACATGCACAATTCAAATTTTATTTTTATTCCATTCCATACATTTTTATAGTAATAATTGTAAAATCAAACATATCCACTTTCTATTAAGATACAAGTGCATCAACTAATATTTTTAGACGCTACTCAGGCTGTGTTTTAAAATTCACTGTCAGTGCTGAAAATGTATAGTAGACGTAGACTGTAGATTTTCAGCGTTGGCAGTGAACCTTGGAACACGCAGCCTTAGTAGATATCACGATAAATCTTGAAACAAGATCTTTTGAAAAATTTGTATGGCATTTACTTAGGAGAGCAGTGTACATTTTTGAATATCAATTCCTTGTAACTAATGTCTAATTCTTTAAATATATTATACATATAAATGATCGTCTCAATCAAATTCTAGTTATGCTTCGCTTGGCTTTGTAACTTAAGGACAAATTCACTGAAGCTATATGACGCTATCTTGTTGGGATACCGTTAATCGCCAACGGCTAGAGCATATCATTGCCATAAGAAATTCCAATCGTGTAACAGACATTGAGCGCTGAATAAAAATCCCAAAAAGTCAATTGAAGCATTTTTGCCGAAATCGTCAAATGTCAAGCCTGAAAGAAACGCAAACCTAAAAATATTATTCATTTACTGTAACAACGATAAGTTAATGGATGAAGTTTTCTAAAAAATAAGTTTGAATGTTTTGAACTATATTAAAATTTTGTAATTTTAATTTTAAAATACAATTTTAATGTAATAACTGATGACTGTAAAGAAATAAAAGTATTTTTTATAAAGAAATAAACGTATTTTTTAAAATTTTGTAATTTTAATTTTAAAATACAATTTTGATGTAATAACTGATGACTGTAAAGAAATAAAAGTATTTTTTATAAAGAAATAAACGTATTTTTTAAGTACATGTTTTCTTTTTTTTTTATGTTTTCATTCTTTTTTGCAAGCAATACAGAAATCACAATTTTTTAATTATATGTCGCTATTACAACAAATGAATGATATCATCATAAAGTCCTCTTAGACCAAGTCCTCTTACTTTCGCGCTACTTCGGAATTTCCGAATCCGAAATAAGGACGTGTAAGTGCGCGCCGCACTTTTTTTCCCGGCGCTTTTACGCGGCATTGATTGTGGGACTCTTGTCTCCGGGATTGCGGCTTCCTCGTTGCGACAATCCCTCGTTGCAATAATCACGCGACCGTGCCGGCATACTTTGGCATACGGCGGGACCATTTTTCGCGCGCGGCTCGTAGTGCAGCTGGTATCGGTTGCTGCGCGGCATAACCACGCCACCACGTTACCACACTATCACGATGCAACTGCAGTCTGCACGGCCACGCCCTGCGTGCTATCATCGCGTACCTAACGCAGCGTGCCTTGATATATCCGCGCGACTACACTTGGCGACTGAGCCTTACATTTTCATCATTGCGACTCATCACGGAACGAAACACAGTTGCATTTCGCGTACGATATTTACGGCCTCCATGTTGTACCGCGCTCCACGTGGCCGCGATCACGACACTCCACACACAGCGCGGGCCGTTGCACCGTGCCACTGCCGAGTGCCGCGCCGGTATTTTGTCGGTTGACAAACTGTGAGAAATGTGAAATTGCACGATCGTACCGTTTCGTAAAATATCGAAAAGTTGCCATCTTACGAAGACTTTTTGTAAATCAAACAAGTAAAAAAATACCAAATATGCTATTATGAAGCTGGATTTTAATACAAGGATTTTGCTGGAGTTTGAAGAAATATAAAATATTGTTCATATATGTAATTATATATAAAATTATACATAATTATGTATGAGCAGTTTTTTTATATTTCTCCAAACTTTGATTTTTTCCAGAATAAACAATACGAAAATTATTCCTTTAATTATTTTTTATATTTTCTCATTATTATTATTTTTATTACACTAAAAAGTAATTTTATAAAAAAAAAGTGTGAACAAGTATGGACATATTTCATATACAAATATATATGTTTATAAATACTTATACACGTTTACGTTTATACATATTTATATAT